CCAAGGGAGGGGTACACGGCGGGGGTAGGAGAGAAAGGAGGGAGGGTAAAAGGGGGATCGCGGATTTAAAGGGGCCGCGGACAATACCCGGCCCCGCCGCGCTGCCGCTGCCGCCGCCGCCGCCGCCAACGCCGCTGCGCTCCCAACTTTACCTCAGTCTCCTCCACACTGACACCCCCGGGCCGCGCCGCCCCTGTCACGTGATATAAGGTTCCCTCCTCCCCGCCCCCATCCCTCCTTTTGCCTCTCGCGCTCGCTCTCGCGCCTTCCCCCTCCCACTTGCCTTCCTGCGTCCCCCAGCACGTGACGCGAAAGGCACGCGCACGCTTACGTGCGCGTGCCGCCTCGCCACGAGACACCTCTCCCCCGCCTTCTCCACGGCGGCCACGCCCCCGCCACGTGACGCAAGAGGCCTTCGCTTCCTCTTACTGGCATAGTTCCGCGTCTCCGCGCTCACCACTCCCGGTTGCCATTGCGCGCCCGAGTCACGTGTTGGGGGGGGGGAGCGGGAAGGTATCGTTCTTCTTACCCAGCCCCCCTCCCCCATCCGCCATGTTTTCTGGCCGGGTCAGCCTTGGTCTTTCCCCTTAAGGAAATGGCCAGGGAACTTCAGAGAACCCAGGCACCGTTGCCTCGGAGGAGCCCGGGCTGACGCGGCAGGGCAGCGGGGTAAACCGGAAGAGTTCTGCCCGGGGTAGGGAGGCCATGGCGTCCGGCAGTAACTGGCTGTCGGGGGTGAATGTCGTGCTGGTGATGGCCTATGGGAGCCTGGTGAGGAGATTCCCCGACCCTATTCCTGCTGTTGCGTGTGACCCAGTAGAGCCCCTCCTCGTGAGTAGTTCGCTGTCCTCATTCTCCACCCACTCACCTGCACTTTCTCTGGGTTTTGACTCCTATGCCTGGACTGCCTGGGAGCATGTCACCGACTCGTAGTGCCCCGCCCCTGGCCGAGAATCCTCCCTCTTGAACCCTAAAACCGAGACCCCCACGCCTCTGCGCTGCCCGCTTCCTTTTATCCACCTCATCTCTGATGGCTTTGCTGTCGCAAGTTACACCCCCTATAGCCTCGCTGAGAACCTGAATCTGGGGATTTGAAATGAAGGCATGACTTATTTTTTTTCATTGTCTTTTTATTTGAGATTCTTTCCTTTTCTCATATCTTTTGCACAGGTGTTTGTACTGCTATTTATTTTTGTGAAGAGGCAAATCATGCGCTTTGCAATGAAATCCCGAAGGGGACCTCACGTCCCTGTGGGACACAACGCCCCCAAGGTAGGTCCTTAAGGCACTAGATAGGCCTGGTATTCCAGATCTGTTAGGGCCCAGAATGAGATTGCCTTTGCCTGTAGGAACTACTTTAAATCCCGTTTTCTTGTCCGGTTACCTTTGAGGATTGAGCAATAACGGTCAGTTTGGGGCCTGGCTTACCTGTTCACTATTGTAGCATAGCATGTAGTTTACCCAGGAACTTCAGTTTTTGCATCTGCAGAACGAAGGGCTTGAATTAAAATTCCCACCTTTTGTGTTAAGATGTTTCCCAGTTCAGATTAAACTACCCAGTATTTTCTGTTTGTTTTTAATCCTGTTTTAGGATGGAGTTAGGGTGGTTAAAATTAGCCCCAGTTCACCCTGCCCGGCCTGGCTCAGCGGTTGAGCGTGGACCTAGGATCCAGGCGATCAGGGTTCAATTCCCGGTCAGGGCACATGCCCGGGTTGTGGGCTCGATCAACGACTCTCTCATCATTGATGTTTCTATCTCTCTCTCCCTCTCCTTTCCTCCCACTAAAATCAATAAAGATATATTAAAAAAAAAAAAATTAGCCCCAGTGCAATAAGAAGAGTTGCCCCTGCAGAACTTTAGATTTATAAGGGCTCCATAAGTCATCTAGTTCCAACACTCAGGTTAGAAACTGAAACCTAAGAAAATGAAGCAGTTTACCCAAAGATATTTTAGAAAGTGAATAGCCAATTGGTCTGTCTATATTCTCTTCTTAGGTGACTGTCTTCCTTTCTTTGGCCTAGTTATATATCTACTGATGAAATTTTATTTCTATCCCAAACCTTTTTCCTGAGTTCCATACTTACATATCCAGCTGCCTGCCTAAGACTTAGATGTGCATGTCACACCTAACATGTCTACGTCAGAACTTTGATAACCTACCACTTCTCCCATCCTGCTGTTTTTCCCTTCCACTTCTGGGTAAAAGGCACCTGTTGCCCTTACCAACCTCCTTTTGTATGATTCTCCCTTGATCACTGGAACCCAGCTACAATGTGCTGTAACTTTTACATGTGCTATAACTGTGCCTAGAATGATCCATTGGTGTTCACTTGACTAGCTCATTTTTTTTTTTTTTTTAATGTCTTTATTGATTTCAGAGAGAGGAAGGGAGAGGGGGAGGGAGAGAAACATCAGTGATGAGAGAGTCATTGATCGGCTGCCTCCTGCACACCCCCTACTGAGGATCAAGCCCAAAACCTGGACATGTGCCCTGACCAGAAATCGAACCACAATCTCCTGGATTATAGGTGGATGCTCAATCACTGAGCCACACAGGACGGACTTATTTGTTCTTTAGATCTTGGTTTTAAATATTTCCTCCAAAGAGGAGTGCATGTTACCTATTTAAAATAGGTCCTCCTCTTTGTTTTCTCATAGTCCCCTGATTATTTCTAGATAGCATTTTACCACAAATTTTCTTTTATGTTTAATTTTTATTTGTTTAATGCCTCTCTCTTCCATTAAACTGTAAGCTTCAAGAATGCAGTCACCATACCAGTTTTGTTCACCACTGTAAAACCAGGGCCTACACGTATTAGGCAGTCAGTTCCTTTTAAGTGAAATGTAGGTTAGTGTGAGAGCTAGAGCCAGTACACAACTCTCTCAACTCCTAGACCAATGTTCTCTCATTAACCAGTGCTATTAACCCTCCCCTCCTGTTCTTTGCTAGTATAGTTCATGGAAAACAAGGATGTCATGGCCTAAAACATCAGTAGAGCTCTTTCAACAGTCCCTCAGTTCTCCAAATGCCTGCTGACTTCTGTAAAAGGGATACAGGGGTGGCTTCCAGTACATCATGAGCCAGTGAAAACTTTGACTATCTAGAAGCCCCTGGACTAGATGAGAGCAAGGTTCCTTTTGCTTTTAAAAATTATCTAAATTCTTATCTATTGGTGGAAGTAAAAATTAGTTAAGCCACTGTGGAAAACAGGCATTATCTAGTAAGACTACACATGTACCTAATCCACAGTCAAGCAGTTCCACTTCTGCCATAGAGAAATTAACTTTTGCTCATGTGTACCAGAAGACACATACAAGATTATTCATTGCAGCATTGTTTGTAATATAGTAAACCCTCGATTTTGCAGACCTCGATTTAACAGACTTTGGATTTAATGGACAAAATTTCTGGTCCGTATGTCATAAGTGAAAATTAACACCCTGTTAACTTTAAAAAGCTTTTGACCAAGATTTGCTTATAATTAAATTAACAGATTATTTTTGTGTTAGTCACTGCTATTTTTAACAAATTTTAGCAAATAGGTCATATGTTAGAAAAAAACACTAGTAATTTTGCCAACATAGATATTATATATTTGCAACTATAGTCTACATATTTAACCCAAGAGTCACCACTCATAAACAATGTCTGGCAAGTAATTAGCATGCGATCACACCACATTGCTCCTGGTAATTGGTTCTGTTGTCAAGTGGCATGACTTTCTGTAGTAGTTTTAACTAGTGCACTAAGCCTCTCCCCAGCCGTGTGTATTTGTTTACTCTCCATGACTGGTGAACGAACGCATTTACTAGACCTATACAGTATAAATTTAAAATTACTGTAATACAGCCCTAGCCAGTTTCCACAGTGGTTAGCGTGTCAGACTAAAGGGTCCCAGGTTCGATTTTGCCCAAGGGCACATACCTTGGTTGCAGGCTCCATCCCAGCCCCAGTTGGTGTGCATGCAGGAGGCAACCAATTGATGTGTCTCTCTCACATCAATGTTTCTCTCTCTTCCCCCCCTTCCACTCTCTGAAAAGCAATGGGAAAAATATCCTCGGGTGAGGATTTTTTTAAAAAAAATTTAAAAAAAAAAAAAAAAGAAAGAAAACTGGTTCTCTGGTTTTCCATCAGGAACCTTGTACCTTCTAAACCAGTCCACAGCAGCTTCTAGGTAGCCAGGTTTCAGCCGCTTAACGTTATTAATAGGATTGTAATTGTCTGCATCAGGATCACCCACATTAATTGCAATCACTTTCCAGTCGGTTTCCCCTTCATCAGTCATAACCAATATGCCCAGAACTTTCACCCTGATTATTATACCTCTTGTATATACCTTGCTGCCAGATTCACAGACATCAACTGGGTCATTGTTACCACAACTACCATCATGTTCGTCATTGTGTCCTGGGTCCTCCCAAGTCTGAGGGATGGCACCATAGTGCCAGATACATCCTTTATAAGGAAACAATTTTGCAACATAATGGGAGTTTTCCTTTTTTCACCTCTTGTTTAATTGGGCTTAAAAGGGTCCTTTGTAGCAATCTCCATTTGTGCATTAGACCAGCATGGTACTTCAGCTACCATATGGAACACATCCTTTTCTGTATAAGTTGGAATATCATGAAATGGAGATATGTATTTTTTCTTTTTTTATTGACTTAGACAGGAAGGGAGAGAGGGAAACATCAATTTGAGAGCATTGATCAGCTGCTTCCTGCATGCCCCCTACCGGGGATCAAGCCCAAAACCCAGGCATGTGCCCTGACCAGGAATCCAACCGGCAGCCTTTCAGTGCACAGGACTATGCCCAACCGAGCTACAGCAGCCAGGGCTGCCACAGACCAAACCATACGCGGTGTGGACTGACAAGGAGAGACCATTCTTATTTTTTTAATCCTTACTGGAGGACATGCTCTTTTTTAGAGAGGGGAAAGGAAAGAGAAACATCAATCTGTTGCCTCCCATATGTGCCCTGACCAGAAGAACGCTCCACCTTTCAGTGTATGAGACTACACTCCAACCAACTGTGCCACGCTGGCCCGGGCAAGGAAAGACCGTTTTTAAATTTTTGAGTCTTATCTTGCAATTTTGTTTACCAAATGAACATTTTCTCTGCTTCTGTTGTCTTAGTTACTCATTTGCTCTGCTCCATTTCCAAACTGATGGAAAGCAGAGTACAGGGTACGTGATTGTGTATTCTTTTCTCTCTGTGAACAGGACTTAAAAGAGGAGATTGATATTCGACTCTCCAGGGTTCAGGATATCAAGTATGAACCTCAGCTCCTTGCGGATGATGATGCAAGACTGCTGCAGCTGGACACCCAGGGAAATCAGAGTGTGTGACATGCTCTTGGAGAGTACTTCAGTGAGGAGTCCCATAAGTTCAGAATTCCTTTGCTCTCAGAGTTGTAACTTAGCTGCTGGCAAAACCAGCAGCTGTGGGTCCTTCTCTTATTGGGTATATGACATGCGGGAAGCAGTTTATTAGCTTCTTAGAGTTTAGAGACTTTTCTGAGGGTTATGTCTAAGACCACTCTCTTTCTCAACAGATTGTTACAACTATTTATACAGGATGAAAGCTCTGGACGCCATCCGTGCCTCTGGTAAGGGCCAGTTGATGGGCCATCAGAATCCTGAAAGCTCATTTGGAGAAGAGAGGGAGGAACTCACTTTATGTATGTTAGAATTTGTTCTTTCTGCACGATCCCTGGCTGGTAGGAATTTTGTAGGGTACTGGGTGCCTCTTTGGCATAAGAAAATGATGTAGACAAGTTATTTCTGCGCCAAAGAGTCTAGATTTATTTTGTTCTTTAGACCTTTAGTTTCATGAACTGGATAGTGGTAATTTGCTTGATTTCCACAAAAGACAGGCAATGCATGCTTTTTTGCTAAGCCCCAGGTAGATAGTTCTTGAACTTTTTTTATTCTATAACTATTGTATATACTCTGTCTCTACCAAAACAGTTTATGTCTTAAAGCCACGGTGGGCGTATAGGAGGGTAAATAGGAAGATGACACTGTTGTATATCATTGGTATTGCTTACAGTTGTGTTGTCATCACCAAATGACAACTCAGACACAGCTCTATACCTCTGGTCTCCTTAATTCTTTAGAATTTCCCTCCAACTCATTCACTGGACCTATTTCTAAATTTGGGAAATTAATTAGAGAAACAAATGGGAGAAAGGGTATCATTGCGCCATTTATCTCCTCAGAGATCCCGTTTCATGCTGAAGGCCGGCATCCCCGTTCCTTAATGGGCAAGAATTTTCGTTCCTACCTGCTAGATCTTCGAAATACTAGTACTCCTTTCAAGGGTGTGCGCAAGGCTCTCATTGATACCCTGCTGGATGGCTATGAGACAGCCCGCTATGGGACTGGGGTAAGCTGGGTGGCTAGTATTTTTTTCAGGGAACTAAAGGGATCCCCAGACTGAGAAATCCTCACTCTTTCGTCTTTTTTCCTCAGGTCTTTGGCCAGAGAGAGTACCTGCGCTATCAGGAGGCCCTGAGTGAGCTGGCCACAGTGTAAGTTTAGAGGGAAACATGTCAGAAGGGACTGATTAGAGAATATAGTAGTGCTGGGCTGCTCCCACAGTGAGATGACCTTCATAAAGCAGTATGAACAAAGTCATGGTAACATGAGAGTTGTCAGGTCCTAGATTATTAGAGTTGCCTCTCGCTTACATTGGAAAGCAGATGCTCCCCTATAGGCTGATAAGAGAGGCTTCTGCTTTTGTACCTCTTCTTTTTTTAATCCTCACCTGCGGATATTTTTCATTGATTTTTAGAAAGAGTGGGAGGGAGGGAGAAGAAGAGAGAGAAACTTGATGTGAGAGAGACACATTGATTGGTTGCCTTCCACAGGTGCCCCCACCAGGACTGGGGATCAAACCCACAACCCTTTGATCCATGGGCCGATGCTCTAATTGGTGTATGAAAGAACGGAGTTTTTCAGCACACACAGATTCCTTCTCTTCCAGGGTCCTACTGTTGTCCTTGTGTCTTGGACTGAAAAAATAAGAATTAAATGTCCCCCATTTATTACCACTTTAAACATTAGTAACCCTCTCTGAAACAAAGGACATCACTATAGAGTCATCTGATGAGTATTTGTGGTATAGAAGAGGAATCATGACTTTTGTCTGGGAATGTTTTAAATGTGTACTAACAGAGCTTCATTATGTTGTTTATGCAAACGTTAAAATGAAAGGTTAAAGAGGATAAGCCAATCTAGAATAAAAAGTTAACAGCCATGAAAAGAAACAATACATCTGTTTTCTGCTGTGTTGAATATGGATCTTTCTAAAACGATAAGGGGTATGTCTGTACTGTCTTTCTCTGTCCCTAAAAATAAACTACCTTGTTCCTAGTAAAAACTACTTACAGTGGTAATGAAAGTGAACATGTGGGAAGTGTGGAAAACTGCATTTGGTCTAGAAGTCAGGCAGAAGACCTGTTCAAAATTATTTGAAAGGCAAATACTGTATGACTCCACTTATTAAGGTGCCTAGAGTAGTCAAATTCATAGAGATAGAAAGTATAATGGTGGTTGCCGGGGGCTGGAGGGAAGGGGGAATAGGGAGTTAATGTGTAGAGGGTTTGTTTTGCAAGATTAAAAGAATTCTGGAGATTGGTTACACAACAGTATAAATGTATTTAACACTACTAAACTGTAAACATTTAAAAATAGTCCAGCTGGGCATGGCTTAGCTGTTGAGCATAGACCTAGGATCCAGGAGATCGCAGTTCGATTCTGGGTCAGGGCACATGCCAGGCTTGCGGGCTTGATCCTCTGTGGGGGGCCTGCAGGAGCCAGCTGGTCAATGACTCTCTCATCATTGATGTTTCTATCCATCTCTCTCCCTGTCCCTTCCTCTCTCTGAAATCAATAAAGATTAAATAAATAAATAAATAAATAAAGTTAAGCTCTAGCTGGTTTTGCTCAGTGGTTAGAGTGTCGGCCCTCAAGCTGAAGGGTCTTGGTTCGATTCTGGTCAAGGGCACACACCTCAGTTACAGGGTCTCACATCAGTGTTTCTCTCTCACACTCTGAAAAGCAATGGAAAAAATAGCCTCAGGTAGGGATTTTTAAAAAAAATAATAATAAAACAAAAATAGTTAAGATGGGCCCTGGCTGGTGTGGCTCAGTTGGTTGGAACGCCATCTGTCCTGTGCACCAGAAGGTTCTATTCCTGGTCAAGGGCACATACCTAGGTTGCAGGTTCAATCCCAGTAGGGAGGCAAGTGATTGACATTTCTCTCCCCTGCTCCCTCTCAAAAAAATCAATAAAATTCTTTAAAAATAGTTAAGATGGTAAATTTTATGTTTCTTTTCCTACAATTAAAAAAAAAATGTAGTCTCTTTGATTTCTAGCTTCTAGAAAGGTTTAATGGGTACAGTGAAAATAGTATAGGCTCTGAAATCTGACAAAGTTAGGTTTGAATCCCAGCTTTCTGTCACTAACTTTGTGACCTCAAGCAAGTTACTTAATGGACCCTCAGTTTCCTAACCTGCAAAATGGAGGTGATACCACCATGTAGGAATTTTGGGATGTTAGTAAATTAGATGTTGGTAAAGCATCAAGTTTAATGTCCTAGCATGATAAGTACTCAATAGTTACTTTTCATAGTATTTGACATGCGGTTCTCAAGGGACTCTCTCTGGCCTAGGAGTATACTGGTGGCATATACACATTAGGTGACTCAGCAGAATTAATTATAACTTTTCTTTAATGAAAAGGTTGGGCCAGAGGCAGGGACTCAGTGGGAAAATTGGTTTCTCTGTTATTTCTAAGCTACCAGGTAGGGTTTTAGTAACTAGTTTATAAAGTAGGACAGAGACCATTTGTGCTACAGCTGCATTTGTGGGATGGATGAGCCTTGGATTGTATTTTTCCATTAGTCCTCGTTCTCTCCATGACCTGCCCTCTGTATTCTTCAGGGTCAAAGCCCGAAGTGGGAGCTCCCAGCGACAACATCAGTCAGCAGCCAAAGACCTAACCCAGTCTCCTGAAGTTTCCCCAACAACCATCCAGGTGACATACCTCCCCTCCAGTCAGAAGAGTAAACGTGCCAAGCACTTCCTTGAATTGAAGAGCTTTAAGGACAACTATAACACACTAGAGAGTACTCTGTGATAACGCTGAAGGACTTGCTGTTGATGGAGCCAGAGAGACTGCATTGGGCTTGCCCGGCGCCCCTCAGGCCGCCTGGATCAACGGGCCCAGGCTGGATCAGCTGAAGCTCCCAATCATATCCAGACCTCTTAGAGCTCATGCATAGAGAATCATTCTCCAAACCTTTCTTATGGCCAGTTTCAAAACATCAGTTAAGACTTTATTTTCCCTTGGTAGCACTTTTTTGGGGGAGTTGAATTAAGATGTTTTTCTTAATGTTTCTGTCAAAGCTTCCTTAAATATCCTCACTTGATTTCGATCATAATTCATCTGCCCTCTTCCAGACTATAAATAATCCCAAGGGTGAGAGAGTTGGGGTGATGGGGCAAGAATGGTCAGACCAATGCACTGGCCTGACTTTATAAATTAATAAAATGAACAATTAAATTATAAAGCATGTGATTCGTGATTCATTTACAGTTGCCTTTTAGTAAAACAGGCATATGATACGTTCTCTGCACCTGCCTAACAGGATAGGGCATGAGGATTTACCTTTAGAGAATTGGTAGGACTGAGGACCCTGGACCTGGGACCGTACAGATACTCCTTGGGATCCCAACAGAAGAAATCCCAAAATCGAAACTATGGCCCTTGCTCACAGAATTGTCTGTGTCACTAATAGAAGACTGGAGAAATAGAATTCCCTTCAAGTCTGGGGCAACAGGCCAAGTGACCAATCAACTCCTGGGTGTAGGGTCATTGTTAAAGGCAGAAATGTTGCTATGACTACTGAAACCTTGGTGACTGAACCAAACAGAAAGAGCCTGCTTAGTCTCCAAAGACCATATCAAACCAAGTCTGTAGACATGTCTTCAGAAAAGCTGGTAGAGATAGAAAAGGTATGCAGGGTTGGAAGGAGGAGCTGAGTTGGAGGGGGTTTCCGTTGATGGGGTTTCCAGATAAGTTTACCAGGAGTGAACCTTCTGAGAGAGGCCCTTGACGTAACAGGATAGTAACAGAAATGGGAGACTGGCACATAGTAGGTATTCAAGTATGCCTGCCATACCAACCCCTACCTATTTGATCCATTCTGAAAGGAAAAGACCTTTCTTCCCACCTCCCCTAGGAAATTGGTGTCTCTCAAAAGAGAAATATCTGTGTCTCCCAGTAGAATAGGGTACTAGGGAGGAAGAACTGGAGGACTGGAGGTATAAGGCAGATCAACAGAAATCGCTTTTTTTGCAGAGTTTTCAAAGGGCCCTGGAACTTAAGACGATGGTTGACAGGTAATCTCTACTTCTATTTTTTCCCTTACGCTTCAGCTTGACCTTTTACCCTCCTGTACTACCTGAGCCACCTCTCAGCTCTGTTTCATCTTTCTAGCGGCTCATTAAGAAGGAAAATGGCCTGGCTGGGTGTGGCTGAGCAGTTGAACATCAACCTAGGATCCAGGAGATCATGGTTCAATTCCCAGCCAGGGCATATTCCTGGGTTGCGGGCTCGATGCCCAGTTAGGGGCATGCAGAAGGCAGCCAATCAGTGATGACTCTCTCATCATTGATATTTCAACTCTCTTCTCTCCCTCTCCCTTCCTCTCTCTGAAATCAACAAAGCCACATTTTTAAAAAAAAAAAACGTGTAGGGGGCCAGAAGCAGACCTTTTCTCACTAGCAGAGATCATCTCCTAGTGCCCACTAGGTTAGGCTATATAGACAATGGTGGTTGTTTTTTAATCCACCCGAGGACATGCTTATTGGTTTTTAGAGAGAGGGAAGGAGGAGAGAGGAATATCGATGTGAAAGAGAAACCAGTTGCCTTCCCATACGCACCCCAACTGGAGATTGAACCCTCAGCCTAGGTGTGTGCCCTGACTGGGAATTGAACCCACAACCTTTTGGTGTATGGGGCAATGCTCCAACCAACTGAGCCACAATGGCCAGGGCCTAGACAATGGTTTTTATTGCCCCTTGCTTACCATTCTCTAAAGGAAAATTGGAGTGAGTTTTTGTTGTTTTATTTTTGAAGGAAAATGCAAGTATTTGTTGCCTGGCATTGTACTAACCATGTGGTAGGTATGTAGTATTTGTTAAATGAGAGAGAAGATTCAAAAGACTAGGCTGTATATCTCCTTTACCTGAAGGAGCCTTTTAAAAAAACACGTACGTAGCCTTGGCCAGTGTGGCTCAGTTGGTTGGAGTATCGTCCTGTGCATCAAAATGTGGAGGTTTGATTCCTGGTCTGGGCACATGTGGGAGGCAACCAATCAATGTTCTCTCTCTCTCTTCCTCTCGCAAACCAATCAATAGATCAAAAATAAAAATAAAAAACACATACTTAAGTTCAACCTAGAAGATTCTGACTAAAGTAGTCTGGGATTGGATAGGATAAGACTGTTTTTTAAGGTTTCATAAGTTATACCTAAAGCTAGCAAGGATTTGAGGCAACAAGGATGCATATAATTTAGTGGGATTCGAGATTTTTTTTTAAAAAGATTTTTTAAACTGATTTTTAGCAAGGGAGAGGGAGAGAGAGAAACTTTGATGTGAGAGTGAAACATCCATTGACTGCCTCCTGCACAAGGGAATCAAACTCACAACTTGGGCATGTGCCCTGACCGGGAATCGAAGCTGCAACCTTTCAGTACATGGGACAATGCTCAACCAACTGAGCCACTCTGGCCAGGGCACAACTCCTAACCTGGCCAGTGTAGCTCAGAGGTTGAATATCAACCTATGATCCAGGAGATCAAGGTTTGATTCCTAGTCAGGGCACATGCCGGAGTTGTGGGCTCAATCAGTAGGGGGTGTGCAAGAGGCAGCCAATCAATGACTCCCTCTCATCACTGATGTTTCTATCTCTCTCCCTCTCCCTTCCTTTCTCTGAAATCAATAAAAACATATTTTTTTTAAAAAAAGTACTTGCTGGTATCTGATAGAAAATTTTTCTGGAAAGATACACAAGAAATTGATAACTTTGTTGAGGAGGACTGGGGCAGAAGAATGGAGCTTTCACTTTCCATTTACTACATTTCTTTATGGATTTAATTTTCTAGTCATCTGTAAAAAATGCTTGATTTTTAAATCTCAGTGGGGTTATCTGAGCAGAGGATACATATATGTATGTATATATATATGACATATATGTATATTCCTTTTATGTATTAAAAAACCTTAACAAATCATTCCAAAATGTATCTAGCTGGGGTTGAGAATCACTGGTATGATGGAAGGAATTAATCCTTAGTTTGGATTTGATATCCAAGTCTGCCATTAAGTGACCTTGGACAACTCACCTGAAATTTTAGTTTCCTTGTCTATATAATGCAAAAATTAATATCTATGACACATACTTATGATGATGATTAAATGACATAATGTACTTTATACTAGATTCTGCGTCGGTTCTAGTTACCCTTTCAAGGAGTTTGCAGTCTTCTGACACTGTCACAGAGACTTTGGTGAAGAAGTAGACTCACTAATGGGGCTTTTATCTCCACTCCTAGCTCTAACCCATTCAACTCCTATCTCTATACCTGAGGCAGGTGGCGAAATTCACACACTCACTGTCTGTGGCAGATGACATTGAGCCAGAGGAGAAACCCTTATGCTACCCTAAGGATTCAGGATTTCATGGTACAGGAGTTGGCACTGGCCAACAAGCAACTACTGATGGTGAGTTCTAGCAAGGGTGACCTTAAGTCTCATTCACTACTCCTCTGTGCCTATGCCCGCTGGGATTCCCACTCTCTTATTCATCCCTGAGGTTTTCACTGTTACACCAGAGCAATAACTCTTTAACTCTAAATGCCTAAACTCTTTTTCATTAAGTGATGCTTTGCATTCAGCTGCAGATGGAACATTACAAAGTTCCAAAGTTCAGTTTAACCCTTGCTTCTCTCATCTTGGTGAGACTCAAAAGAGCTTTAGTGCCCAGCACCCGTCTCCCAAAAACTCTCTCTCTCTGGGGTCCTCAATTGTTGTCATGTCACCATCTTTGAATCCCAAGTGCCTAGCAGAGTTCCTGGTTCATGATATGTTCTCAGCAAATATTTGCTGAACATGGGGCTTCACCTTGAAGGAAAAAATTGGGTAAGCTTCTCCTCCGATGGCTTAGCCTCTATGTTACTGCCTAGCTCTATGTCACAGCTAAGTCCAGATCCAAGAGAATATTATAGAGTAGTGGGAAAGCAACCTGGAAGAGAGAATGAGAAAGGGGGGTGAACAGAGGGCAAACATCATACTGTGGATGAAAAGGGGCCACATATCAAACCTGACAAGCTCAGGGAAGGCCTTGCAAACCCAGAGACCTAAAGTAACCACAAAGGATGGTCTGAAATTAAAACTTTTTAACTAGCCTGGCTGGAGTGGCTCAGTTGGTTGAGCATTGTCCTGTGCACGGAAAGATTTCCAGTTTGATTCTTGGCCAGGGCGCAAACCTGGGTTGTGGGTTCAATCCCTGGTTGGGGCACATACGGAGGCAACTGATCGATATTTCTCTCTCACATTGTTGTTTCTTTCTCTCCCCCTTCCTCTTGGGTGAGGATTAAAAAAAAAAAAAAAAAAAAGGCTTTTTAACTAAAAGCAGTTTATAGTGGGTAGTAATGTCCTAGGTTAGAATCTTCCCTAACATTGGTCAATTTTCACCTCAAGCCTGTCTATTGTCTTTTTGCATCTTTGATAACATTCTTTTGGAATGTCAAAATAATTTACTTTTTCATGACCCCTCCAAGCACGGGTACTGAACCAGAGCGGAGACCACAAATCCCCTCATGTTATTGAGTTCATTGTTGACTGTTAACTTTTTATCCAATCCCAGAGCTTCCCCCGTACCGCACCACCCCCACTTTGCTTTCTCCTGCTCCCTAATCTATCACCAATGGATTTCATATAACCCACTTATGTCTTCTCTTTGCTTGTAATGTATAAAATAAGGTGCAAAACTGGCATTCTCTGGAGCATTTTCTCAGTCTGTTGAGATTTTGCTTTCTGGCAATTGTCAACAGTTTGGCTCAAATAAACTCACAAAAAGGTCTCTACAGGTTTGAATGTTTCTTACATTGATGATATTGTATTCTGCCCTCCCCACCAGGTCCGTCAGGCCGCCCTGCACCAGCTGTTTGAGAAGGAGCATCAGCAGTACCTGCAGGAACTGAATCAGATGGGCAAAGCTTTCTACATGGAGAGACTCTGATGCCACTGCCCTTCCATTTTCATCATGCCCACTAACCTAGCCTTCTTGAGACCCTACCACCTTGCTCTTCCTTCCCAAAACACACCTGGATCTAGTTATCATCCCAGGACTTAAAATGGTGCTCCCACTCTCACCTCTCAACACCCGGGTGCTATTTGGAAAACCATCCGTGAAAACAGTGGAAAAAAACAAGAGTGACACCTTGTGGTCAGAGTGAGATATGTAGTGTTGATGTAAGACCAGCCTAGGAGGTGGAGAGATGGACTATGTGAGAGAATCCTCACTTGGTTTAACAAATAAAGCTAGTTCACACTTAGCTCCTGGCTGGTATGGCTCAGTTGGTTGGAGCATCGTCCCATACACCAAAAGGTGGCGGATTCGATTCCTGATCAGGGCAACATACCCAGGTTTCAAGTTCGATCCCTGGTCCAGGTGCATGAGGGATCAAAGGATTGATGTTTCTCTCTCACATTAATGTCTCTCTCTCTGTCTCTCTCTCCCCCCCTCATCCTCTCCCTCTCTAAAAAATAAATTAAACCCTGACCAGTGTGGTTCAGTTGGGCTCAGCTGAGCATCATGCCATGCACTGAAAGGTCACTGGTTTGATCCTCATTTGGGGCACATGCCCAGGTTGTGGGCATGCAGGAGGCAGCCAATTGGTGTTTCTCTTTCACATCAGTGTTTCTTGATGTTTCTCTCTCAAAAAAAATAATATTAACAACAGAGCAAATTTTTATAAAGGGTTCAAACTTAGACCACTTGGCTCATTCTTTCAGTCCTAAGTCTTGATTTATTTCAAAAGTGCTTATTCACAGCTGCCATTATCTTAATATAGCTTCCTGGAGTTTGCTTATCACCTCTCAGATCTGACCTCCACTAATTTGTGTTGTTGTTGTTAATCCTCACCTGAGGATATTTTTTCCATTGATTTTTTAGAGCAAGTAGAAGAGGGGAGAGAGAAAGAGTGAAACATCGATGTCACATCAATTGGTTGCCTCCCAACAGGGATCAAATCTGCAACCCAGGTGAATCGAACCTGGGACCCTTCGGTGCTTGGGTCGAAGCTCTAACCACCAAGCAAAACTGACCAGGGCTCCACTGATTTTTTCTGTACACTTGGACAAAGTGCTTGAGTATCAGGAATCCTGGGTTTTAGGTTTTGAGCCAGCCAGTTATTGTGAAACCTTGGGATAAGTCTCTTTCCTCTGGGCCTCAATTCCCACCTCTGCAAACGACAGGGTTCCAATCTCAAATGCCTTCATGGATCTGGCAAGTAATACAACAGAAATAAGTAGGTGTGGAATTTTAGGGGGTCAGAAAAAGCATTAAATCTAAAAACATTAAAAATTTGAAAAATACTGGAAAGTACTGATTAATCATATGCATCTATAGGCCACAAAGAACCTTACTTTACATGCAAATGTATGTAAAGATCCACTTTACATTCAAATGACTACCCAAACCAGAGAGACCCCTATTTAAAAAAAAAAATCCCCCCCACTAAAATTCCCATCTCCCACCCCCTCCCCTTTGGGAACCATTAGCTTGTTCCATATATCTGTGGAGAGGCCCCCATTTTGCAGGCAGTGACAGCTAACAACACACCATCACTCTCTGAGGTAATCACCATCATCAGCACTTCTATCTTTTCTCTCACTTTGCTACCTGCATCTAAATTGGTCACTCATCCTTCCATATTGATGTTTTCCTGCCCTCAACCCGATGTGGCTATGTTTTCACGGCAAAACTCAGACCCTTTCTTTCCCCTTTCCCACAAGTCTGTCTCGTCCCTCAATATATATTTTTCATCTCAACTGTCAGAGCTACTCCTTCCTTCTCTCCTTACATACCCTACTGGTGAGGAGCACAAAACAGCAAGGTGCAGGCTTTGGAGTAAGGTGTGGGTTCAAAGTCTGGCTTCTAATCCCTATCACCATGTGTGAGTTAATTCTCTGAGCCTCAATTTCCTTTTCTGAAAATGGGGACAATAATACCCATCTCATAGGATCATTAAGAGGATTAAATAAGATAATGTATATAGTCCAGTCAGTGTTGCTCAGTGGTTGAGCGTCAACCCATGAACCAAGAGGCTGAGGTTCGATTCCGGGTCTTGATCCCCAGTATGGGGAGTGCAGGAGGCAGCCAATTGATGTTTCTTTCTCATCAATGTTTCTCTCCCTTCCTCTCTCTCTAAAACTCAATAAAAACATATTGGGAGGAGAAAAAAAAAAGATAATGTGCTCCAGACCATTTTGCTCAGTGTCAGATCGTCAACCCACAGACTAAAGGTTCTCAGGTTTAGTTCCTGCCAAGAGCAGGTATCTCAGTTGCGGGCTCAATCCCTGGCCTTGGTCGGGGCGCGTGCAGGAGGCAACCAATCGATGTGTCTCTCTCACATCGATGTTTCTATCTCTCTCTCTCTCCCTCCCACTCTCTCTGAAAAGCAATGGAAATAATATCTTTCGGTGAGGGTTAAAAAAAGATAAGGTATGTAGAGAGCAGACCCAGTGCTTGGCATATAGTAGGTATGGTCCCTTTTCCCTCTCAGATTTCCCTGTAACCCAGGCTCTTCACAGTTCCCATGTTAGCCCCCTTATGCAGCTCAAATGTCATTCTCCATTCTATGCCTGTCCCCCTCTCTGTCTTATATATCCATTTGTTGGTGACAAAACGACACCAGGTGTTAGACTGGCAGAGTCAGATGGGACTTTGGTTCAGCAACCTCAGTACTTGAGTTCTGGCTAAGAAAGAATTCAGAGTCAAGACTCAAACTATAGTAGGAAGTTTATTTAGAAAGTCACAGCCATAGAAGAAGAGAACAGTAGAAGAACTGGGCTCAGGAAACAAAAAAGGCAAAAGAAGGGGCCCTTGGAACTTAGGAGAGAAAAGGGTAAAGGTATCAGGCCTGAGCAGAAGAGGAGGGGGACTGGAAAGGCACTGGTAGGCTTAGTCCTAAGGGCTTTTGAGGGTAGAGATTTTAGGGGCTATCCCAGGGGAAGATCTCAATAGAATATTCATCAGCTTTCCGGGTGTGTCCTTTCAGGGCCATGGTCTCCACTGATTGGCCAGTGCCAGGGCAGGGGGTCATTAGTCAATGCAGCTGGTACTGATGTCAGCCGTGGCATAGTTTGGTTTTGCTGCTTTTCTGGGCCTGGAGCTGAAACACAACTGAAGCCTAAGTGTTATCCCTAGGGGCTAATACCTAAGGGAGTGGTCCCGCAAGGGATTGTATGAGGGTCGTATGAGGCTGTTCTCTTGCCCTTTGTCCGTCTTCTAAGAGGGTCTGCCACATGACTAGCAACAGGTGAGGGAAAGCTCTGAACTGCATGACCAGCCATTTGCTAGGGGAGGAAAGGTTACCCTGGGGGTGAGGTCCTTGTTTTCCCAGCTTTGTCCATTACAAGGCACCCCAGGCTTTCAGCCCTGCTGGCCTTCTGTACCTGGCCCATCATCCTTGCTCTGCTCATGTCTAACTGCCTACCACACATTCATCCTCCAGTCCCCATCAGCCCTGCTTCTCGAGCCCTCTTATCTTTAGTCAATAACTACGCATGAGTTCTTACACCAAGCATGACATGGTGCTCACAGGTATGATGAATTTTATAGGAGATAAAACCACATGCAGGCCTAGATTTAACCCACAAACCTAATTTCTTCTGCCTGTACCCCTGCCCTTGGTTCCCAGCAGGTCAATCTTGCCTTCACTTCTTTTTTTCTTTTAAATATGTCTTTATTGATTTCGGAGAGAGGAAGGGAGAGAGAGAGAGAAAAATAGAAGCATCAATGATGAGAGAGTCGTTGATTGGCCTCCTCCTGCACTGCCCACACTAGGGATCGAGCCCACAACCCAGACATGTGCCCTGACCAGGAATCGAACCTCAGTCACCTGGATCATAGGTTGATGCTCAACCACTGAGCCACACCAGCCAGACATCACCTTCACTTCTTTTACCTTCCTTGGTATCTGTCTTTCATCCACCCTCTGCCTCTTAAACACATGCAATATATAGCCTGATGTTAGAAGCATAGGATTTAACACAACAGATCTGGGTTTGAATGTTGGCTGTCACTTACTGCCTGTGTGGCCTTGAACAAGTTGCTTTAACTTTCTGGGTCACAGTTCCTTATATGTAAAATGGGCATAATGCCCACCTTGTTGGGTTGCTGTGGAGATTAAAGTATTTAGCAGAAAGGTGGTACATGCTGTCCAATAAGTGGTAACCCATAATGATATTTTCCTGTTGAAAAAGACCAAAGTTTTGCCACCCAAAATGTGCCTTTTGGAATATTGATGTTAAGCTGATTATTATGAAACAAAAGATTCAGAAAGAACCTTTGGCCCTCCCCCTTCCCTACTTAAGAGATTCAGATGGAAAGGTTGTTCCCAAAAGAAAATCTTAGTATATGCACCTTAGCATTAGGTAGGAAGGATTCAAGCAGGGCCCTGTTAACTAGATTTCTGTGTCCCATTGTTTCTTTTCTTCTTTTTTTTAAATATATCTTTATTGATTTCAGAGAGAGGAAAGGAGAGGGAGAGAAAGAAACATCAATGAAGAGAGAGTCATTGATCTGCTGCCTCCTGCACGCCCCTGACTAGGGATCGAGCCCGCAACCCAGGCATGTGCCCTGACCGGGAATCGAACCCTGATCACCTGGGATCCTGGGTCGACACTCAACCACTGAGCCATGCCCGGCCGGGCTGTGTCCCATTGTTTTTGGTCACCTAGCAGGAATTTGTCTGCTACATGTGTCCATGTGTTCCACTCTTTTTTTTTAAATCCTCACCTGAGGACATGCTTAGAGAGAGGAAGAGGGAGAGAGAGAGGGAAACAGAGAAACATTGATGGGTTGCCTTCCATATGTGCCCTGACCAGTAATCAAACTGGTAACCTTTCAATGCACAGGATGACACTCAACCGACAGCCACTCCAACCGGGCCGTTCCACTCTTTTCACCTACCAGTAAATTGCCTATTTTCCCATATGAAATCCCAGACCTCT